GCCACAATCTCAAGCCTCCTTTTTCCCACTTTGGAGGAACTCAACTGGATTCCAAAGTGGTCAGTTATTAACAGCAGCTACGCCTTGGTGCAATCCTCCAGCACCTGTTCATCCCTGGTGTCAATAAACCTTGCTACCTTCTCGTCCTCCATACTTGTACTATGAGTGAATACCTGTTACCTGTACCTAATACCTTTGGCCACTATCAAGCACCACAATCGTAATCGTAATCCTGGCAAGGTCGCCAATGTCGGGGTGTCTCTCTCTCTAGCCAGTCACCACCAAGTATTAGTAGTGATAAACGTTACTTACTGTAGCCTCCACGGGTCTGCACTCGATCCTCACGGTGCCACTGTTCACCAGGAGAGTCTCTCAGTCTGTCTCCGGCCGGCCTCGTAGCCTAAAGACGAGTGAGAACACGATCACTTCACTTGATCATGTGCCCGCCCCGACAGAGGGCTCTACCGCTCACTATAGGTCGCCAACTGGTGTTTACCGTGTCCAGTAACACCTCAGTGGAATAGTAGTAATATAGTAGTGGCCCCAGGGAATACTAATCAATTTGGTAACAGGTAAGTATATGTTTAAATCACTCACTCTTAGATAGTCTCAATAGCAACAAGGTAATTGAGGGTTGACACAAACACGGCGGTGGTTTTGTAGTTTACTTAAAAGATCAAAGAATCATAACTCTGCATCAACAACATGGCAAAGGAATAAATGAGCAGCCTTCTCTCCGCCTCTTCATAATTCTGGAACACTCTGGGAATGGCAACACTCCCAGTTGACGTGCGTTCCCACGCTCCACATGCAGTGTTTTCGAACGTTTGGCCACTCGCGAGATGCCACGCCCGCTCACACTCCTCACTGTTCCTCACACTGCTCACTTCCTCACTATACTCACACTATTGGCGTGAGGCGCCTATTATTCCCTCATATTCACAGTATATCACAACACTGGCATAATCACAGTTAACCACTAGACATATGAATATATTATTTAATAACTCCAGTATATATAGTTCACTTTATCAATATTTATAATAACGAGGTAACTCTAGGCACACAGCCTTACACTATTATATTGTATATTTGTATATATAACTTCTGACACGAACTTATAATATAAATGACATGTAAATATAAATGTCCTCGTCACAGTAATCTCTTCATTAAACCACAGGTGCTATCACACACCATATATATATCTCGTGAGACCTCTATAGCATCTCCCTTCACAACGTGTCTTACTAGAAACATAGACATTGGTGAGCCCTGCTCACGACATAGAAGATACTCTGGCTAATCGCTAACTAAAGGGGAATGGGAGGGAAAACTGAATTACCTACTTCCACCATAAATGATGTGGACTCGTCCTCTGTTGAGGGTTGAATTGAAGCTCCTGGTCCCGGCTCACGACTTGCTGTAGGGAACACCCCCACACACACACTGATGCTCTTCCCAGGACCTCAACCAACACCCAAAAAGCGCGTCTTCTCCTTACTGCTTCTCTCTGCAGGCTCCGTGCTCCTCCACAACCTCTTGAAGGGTTGGAGTCGGTCTCCTGGCCGTCGCCTCCTCCTCACAACTATGTCTGCAGTCGTTCGTATTCCCAGCTAGTTTGTTCTTCTCCTTCCTCACGGTGAACTGGCCCAGCCGCTACGTCATCACCCGACTGGTAAAACTATACAGTCGTCCCTGACGTCACTGCCCAGGCTTCATTCTTGCTAAGCACCTGTCACTGGAGCACTTGTTGCTCGTTTACCGCCAATTCCTTCTTCTGTCCGCCTCACGGAGTTCAGGAAGACCTCACAGGATGCTCGCAGACCCCTGGTGATGTGTATATTCACCGGAGAGGGGCGAATACTGTCAGACTGACAGGAACCCCCCCTATCGCACGTCCGCCCTTGACGACGTGTCGTATCTAACTCCGGGCGCCACGGGGTGCACGGCCCGGACCTACGTCCACTCGTGACGTTACACTTGCCAGGGGCGTTTCTCATTGGCTCCCTGTACCACGTCACCGTTCTTGGCCAATCTGGTGCCACTGACGTCATAACATTTTGGCGCGAAAACGTAGGAGTCAGCGCCATCTTGGCGTCCAAAAGGACCTAAGCCACTGGCCAAAACACTCTTCTTTAGTTAATTTCTCTCCTATGCGAGAACACCTCATGCTCCCACATATGTCAAATTGTTCTCTGGAAGGCAGAGAACGTTCGGGTAAAGTAGATATGACTCTTACAACTGGCGTGGGAGAAATATAAAGGGGGGGGGGAACACCGTCACAATATATATGTACAAGTATGTATGAGTATGTGTACATGTATATATAGCATTAATAATTGTGTAACTGGCGTCAAAACATTGTTATTTGCTTAGCTAAACGAACTTGAGGGTTCAGTTCACGAACCGATTATGTGCCTCTGTAACCCTTTACACCACCGCCCACGGGAGGGGTATGGGATACATAATAAAGAAAGAAATTGAATTGAACACTGTTTATTTAGAGCAAACGTAAATCTGTGTATTTATGTATTTTTGTTTGTTGGTTAGATTAGCATTTTATAAGCACTATATTCACCTTTCGTGGTCGATTGTTCAATAAATCACTGAACTATATGTTTAACGGATCTCTAACCCTGCCAATGGAGGTCAGAAGAAAATTAATATATTCTGGTTAGCATTGTAAATGTGTGACCACGTCTAGGTTAAAAAAATCCTTCTTCTAAACAGTTGTCTCGTTTGCAAGATTCTCTCTCTCGGTTCGTATTGCCAATATTTCTCCTCATGGCGTTTCATCCTTGTCACCATGGAGGATCCCACTTCCAAAGTTTTGCAATATCTTGACCCACATGGCTAAGGCTGCTACTCCGTAAATAGTTCTGAAGCGCATTTTCTTTGTACACTTTTCTTCACACTCCCGCTCCGTCTCCATCTTCACAGATGGGTTTAAGTCTGCCGACGGTGTAGAGTACTCTATTGTATTTCCTGACTACACCTATATGTGTTATCTGCCTCCAGAGACTAGCATTTTCACGGCAGAACTTTATGCAATTTTGAATACTCTTCGTCAACTGCTTTCTCACTGTCAACATGCCTTTGTAGTTGTAGTTGACTCTTGCAGTGCCCTCGTGGCTCACGAGTCATTTAATGCTATCCATCCCGTTGTAGTCGAAATTCAATATTGGCTGTTGAATTGATGGATTCTCTGCCATATTGGTGTGTCCTTAAATAAGCATGCTGGCGTTGCCTCTAAGGAGGCTATCCGCAATTGTCCCATTTCCCGCAAAGGCGTTCCATATTCCGACGTGTACCCAGTCATTCATTCCTCAATCCGTATCCGTTTGCGGGGTCGTTAGTTTTCTGTTACTGGTAGCAAACTGTTTGCGTTTAAGGGATAGCATGTGCCCTTGGCCTTCCTCCTACCACTGTAACCAGCGGTGGGAAACGGCTCTGGCCAGGTTACGTATTGGCCATACACCTTTAACTCACGGTATACTTAATGGAGTGCCGCCCTGCACCTCATTGTCCAAACTGCATTGTCCCTCTTACGGTCGTGCATATCCTTGTTGAATGTCCTGACTTTCAGGAAAAACGTCTTGCTTCCCGACTGTCCCTTGCGGTCACTTGTCCCTCGATATAATCCTTGGTGAATCACATATCACTGATATCACTCGCCTTAGGCGATTTGGTTCTTGTATTGGCACCCTTTCTGTTATTTAACAACTCTTTAGTATCCTGCACCTTTGATGGTGCTACACAGTCTTTCCAGTTTTGGCGCCTTTTGATAATTACTTACTTACTTACTTAAAACTTTAAAAATATATATGTAGCTGTTATTATTTAGCGAAGATAGTTTCATACAAGAGCATGACTGTAATAAAGAAAATGTACTTTGTTCTGATATCTGAACACAGTACATTTTCTTTATTACAGTCATGCTCTTGTATGAAACTGATATCAGTGAACACAATGCTGTTGATGATGTTCACAGAATGATGCAGTCAACCACAGCACACTGCCATTGTTAGGTGCAGCTGTGCATCATGAATGACCTCATTCTCCTTTAGAAAATAAACTTGGTGGGAAAATTTTCATATTCTGGATTTACTAACCAAGATGCTGATAACAATAACATCATTGTGCCTAGCGTTCTCCTTTGTTCTTCATCACTCACAAGTTTTTATAATTTCCTCCTCTTCTCCTTTGTTCGTCACCACTGGTCATTATTTATGTCCCCCTCCTCCTCTTTGTTTCTCACCACTGGTCATTGTTTAAGTCCTCTTCCCCTTTTCTTTTTTTTACCACTGGTCATTGTTTATGTCCTCCTCTTCTTTGTTCCACACCACTGGTCACTGTTTATGTCCTCCTCCTCTTCTTTGTTTCTCACCACTGGTCATTGTTTATGTCCTCCTTCTATTCTTTGTTTCTCACCACTGGTCTTTGTTTAAGTCCTCTTCCCCTTCTTATTTTCTCACCACTGGTCATTGTTTATGTCCTCCTCTTCTTTGTTTCTCCCCACTGGTCATTGTTTATGTCCTCCTCTTCTTTGTTCCTCACCTCTGAGCGTTATAAAATGTCTTGTATTTTGTGTTAATATGTTTTGAATTGTGTGTTGCAGGTTGCCTGTAGATTTGTATAACCTATTGGACGGTGTATTGTGTGATATAACAAATATGTTTACCGTGTATCTCACTAGCATGTTAGTTAGTGTAATACAAGTGTTAAATTTACTCTGACACCATAACTGTTGTTAAACAAAGAAATGACACTAATGTGATATATCACTAAAAAAATTGTTTGGATTAAAGAGGTGACTCGAACCAGCGATCTGGGTTCTCAGCCACCCAGCCACTCTCAGTAACGCATCTTACCCCTGTATAAATTATACTTCATTATTTATATTGTTATGGTTCAGGGAGTAAGGTGAACTGCTGGGAGAACCCTGATTGCTGGTTCGAGTCACCTCCTTGTTCCAAATGATTTTATAAAGACTGTACTTACCGTCAAGTTTTGAAATATTGACGCCGACGCCATGCTTCAGCAGCAAGTCCGCCACTTCGGCCATCCCTTCAAGGGCAGCATAATGTAAAGGTGTGTAACCCATGATGTTCGTGGCGTTGATGTCTGCTTTGGCGCGGATTAGGACTTCTACAAGGTCACTCTGACCTATGGAAGCTGCCAGATGAAGAGGGGTCACACCTGTTAAAAGACACCAGCCATGTCTTTACGCATCGTTCATCAAATCTCAGGGTTTATTCTGTGATAATTAAACAAATTACTAATCAAGATATCCTGCTTCACACAATTCGTTAATTAATAATACTAGGTTAATATGAGATGTCAACAGATGGGTGAAGGCGCCTGGCAGCTGGGTGGACAGCGCCTCGGATTCGTAGTCCTGAGGTTCCAGCTTCGATCCCCGGTGGACGCGGAGACAAATGGACAAAATGTTTCTTTCACCCTGATGCCCCTGTTACCTAGCAGTAAATAGGTACCTGGGAGTTAGACAGCTGCTACAGGCTTCTTCCCTGGGGTGTCTAGCAAAAAGGAGGCCTGGTCGAGAGTAGTAGTGAGTAAGACGTATGGGCCCCTTTTTTTCTGGGGAAAAAGGGGCCGATTTGGAGTTAAAGGTTTCTTATGGGGAAAATTCAAGGCAAAAAGGGGCCCATATGGCTTAGGGGTTTTCAGGTAAATTTGGGTAGTCACTGATTTGGAAGTAGGGAATTCTTATGAGGAAAATAATTTCCGAGATTTTAGAGGGTTGTTAAGCGTTCTTATGAGAAAAATAAGTAGGAAAATCTTATATAAAAATTTTAGAAAAAAGGGTCAATATGTCACAGCATTTCCAGGTAAACTCTACGGACAACCTTTGCCTGTTTTCAATAACCGAACTTTGGAAAAAAAGGGCCGATTTGGTGTTAAAGGTTTCTTATGGGGAAAATTCAAGGCGAAAAGGGCCGATTTGGAGTTAAAGGTTTCTTATGGGAGAAATTCAAAATTCGTGTGTAGACCGCCAGGGTTTTCAGGCGAATTTGGGCAGTCACAGATTTGGAATTAAGGAATTCTTATGAGGAAAATAATTTCTAAGATTTTAGAAGTTTGTTATGCGTTCTTATGAGGAAAATAAGTAGGAAAATCTTAAAGAAAAATTCAGGAAAAAATCCCCTTTAGGACGCCGCATTTCCAGTTAAACTCTACAGACAACCTTTGCCCGTTTCCAATCACACATTTTTCAAAGAGCATTTTCAGAGAATATTGTCTTAGACGTTTTGTTAAGGAAAACAGACAACTTAGCCATAACATTTAGTTTTATGTGCATTTAAGACAGACAATTAGTCAGAAACCAGTTTAAGCTCAAAATTCTTCAGAGTCCACTTTGTTAGCAAAATTCTTCAGAGTCCATTTTATACCGAAATTTCGTCAGAGTCCAGTAAAGGCCAAAAAGGATCAGAGTCCAATTAACAACAGAAATTCCTCGGAGTTAAGTTTAAGCTCAAATTTCACCAGAGTCCTGTAATCTACCAAAATTCGACAGAGTCCATTTTATACCCAAAAATAATCAGAGTCCAATTAACGACAGAAATTCGTCTGAGTCCAGTTTTCTAGCAAAATTTGTCAGACTCCTGTAATCTGAGAAAAATTTGACAGAGTCCATTTTCTACCCAATTTTCATCAGAGTCCAGTTTATACCGAAAATTCACCAGAGTCCACTTTGTGCCAAAATATTCAGAGTCCAGTTCATGATCGAAATTAATCAGAGTCCAATTGAAGACCCAAATTTGACAGAGACCGCATTTTCGCTACTAGCAGTCCAATCCCCCTGAAATTTTAAACAGTCATATATCTGTCGTAGTAAATAAGATCAAAACAGTTAACGAGCTCCAGCTCTCATCCCCACCTTAGTTCGCTCTCGTATCTTTGTAAATAACCCATCAATTTCCTTGAAATTTTTACCCTCTGTATTTCAGACATAGTAAATATGATATAAACAATTATAAAACTCGAGCTCTTGTCCTCTGTCCAAGTTCACTCCTGTAAATTCATTACTATCACTCCAAATCCCCCTGAGATTTAAACACCCAACTACATTTTCAGACATAGTAAATAAAAGCCAGTTCAGTTACCGAGTTTCAACTCGGTAACTGAACCCCGAGTTCCCCGCTTATCTCATTTTGTATAAGTTCTTTATTATCCAACTAAATCACCTGAGATTTAAGATCACCTTACTTCTAACGTAGTAAAATTAATCAGGACATTAGCCAAGCTCCATTTCCTCTGTCTTAGATCATCGAACATAAATATATCCGATCAAGTCCCTATCCAGCCTAACTCTTTATCAGAGTAATCACCTTACCCTTTCCCTCCCTTACCTTCTCATCCCCAACGTATCCAAACCTTCAATAATCATACTGTATTTGCATATTTTCTCTATATTCAGCTGTGTTCTTCACATTTTTTCCATGTTATCTGTGTTCGCCCCATGTTCTACAAATGTTCACGGCAAGCTCAGTACAAATTTTTTCACCTGTTTTTCTCATTTTTTCTGTTTTCTACCATTTTCTCCCCATGTTCATTACAGTCCCTTACATGTTCTCTGTATAACTTTTATACTCAGTATTCATGTTCTCAATGTTCTTAGCTTGTTCTTCACATGTTCAGTGTTCATTCTTTGTATTCCCTATGTTCCTTATCATGTCTTCATATTCTCTATAAGTTCATATTCCCTGCATGTTCACTCTATTCATCAACTTTTTCTCACATGTTTTCTGTGTTCCCCATATGTTCACTGTGTTCATTCCCTTACTTAGTCTCATTTTTTTATGTTCTTTGTTTCTTTAAACCAATTTGTTTCTTCCATTCAGTAACTAGTTCTTTGACAAATATTATCATCAGCAATACAGTTCCCCCCAACAAATTTAGTCACCCAGTTTATTTGCAAAACTATGTCAAAGTAATTCTCGTAGTCAACCTAATAGTTCTACCAACCCTGTTCTTAAACAAATCTACACTTTATTCAGTTCCAAATTTACAAAGACAAACCTTTCTTGTAACTTCTTAACTAAAAATTACTTGTCAATCAACCGAAAATAGTCAGGATTAATCTCATTCAACACGGTTCTTAACTAAAACAACCTTTCTCTTAGCTAAAAATCGTCAAAGGAATCTTACCATCACTGTTCTTAACTAAAATAATCTTTCTCTTAGCAAATATAGTAAAAGGAAACGTTTCCAATACTGTTCATAACTAACCTTATCCATCGTCAAGTAATTGAAAATAGTCTTGTTCATCATTTCGTAACAGCCATTATGTTTTGTCAAGTAAGAAAAAATAACCAAAGATATCTTTCATCGCTGTTCTTAACTGACATTATACTTTGAGGAGCACAAAAATAGTCTCCCTCATCATATTTTGTCTTTTTGCTGAACTAAAAGTATTCACCAGTCAACTAAAAAATAGTTACTTCATCATGTTTCCCTGTCATTTCTTAACTGAAATATCACTTCTCTCATCTGAAAAATAGTCATGTGTAGCCTCTTTTCAACACTGTTCTTAACTAAAGTAACCTTTCACTTCGCTAAAATAGTCAAATGTAACTTTTTCAGCACTTTCGTAACTAAAATTATATGTCGTTAAGTAAGAAATATAGTCAAAAACACTCTTCGAGACATCAAGAACTTACTCAAAGACATCAAAGTTGCACTCAAAGACATCCTTTGAGATATCAAAAACATCCTTTAAGTCTTCAAGGGCATTCTTCGAGATATCAAAAGACACTCTCAAACACTCAAAAATTTACTCGCATCCTCAAAGTTATTCTCAGAGTCATCAAAAGTTAATCTCAGTCATCAAATGTTATTCTCTAAGTAACCTTTCGTTCATCAGAGAAACTTTCTAAGACATCTTCGTTCATTAAAGTTAATCTCAGAGACATAAAAGTTATTCTCAGAGCTATCAAAAATTATTCTCGATGTCATCAAAAAGTATTTTCACGTACTCAAAGTTAATCTCGGTCATCAAAGTTGTTCTGTAAGATATTTTCGAGACATCAAAGTTACTCTTCAATACATCAAAGACGCATTCAAAATACAACTCATGTTCTCAGAAGTCATCAAAGTCATCAACGATTTTCTCAGATTCACCAAAGGTATTCCAAGAGACGTTAAATTTAATCTCAGTCATCAAACTTGTTCTCAAAGTCGTCAAAGATAATCTTAGAGTCATCAAGGGTATTCTCAGAGTCACCTTCGTTCGTCAGAGAAACTTTCCAAAACATCTTTGTTCATCAAACTTGTTCTCAAAGTCATCAAAGTTATTCCAAGAGACATCAAAAGTTAATCAGTTAATCTAAGACATCATCTTACATCAAAGTTATTTTAGAGACATCTAAAGTTATTATGTAAGACATAAAAGTTATTCTTAGAGTCATCAAATGTTATTCTCGAAGTCATCAAAGATATTCTCAGAGTCATCAAAGGTAATCTCTAACTCACTTTCGTTCAACATAGTAATTTTCTAAGACCTCAAAGTTATTCTCTAAGACAACAAAGTCATTCTCAGAGTCATTAACAGTTATTCTCAGAGCCACCTTCGTTATTCAAAGAAGCCTTCTGAGACATCCTCGTTCAACAAAACTGTCCTCAGAGCCATCAAAAAAGTTAATTACAGTCATCAAAGTTATTCTCTTAGTAACTTTTCGTTCATCAGAGAAGCTTTTTAAGACATCTTTGTTCATCAAAGTTGTTCTCTAAGACATCAATGTTGTTCTCTAAGACATCAAAGATGTTCTCTAAATCATAAAAGTTAATCTCTAAGTCACCTTCGTTCATTAGAGAAACTTTCCAAAACATCTTCGTTGATCAAAGTTATTCTCAGAGTCATCAAAGTGATCTCTAATTCACCTTCGTTCACCAAAAGTTGTTTCTCTAAGACACCTTCGTTCATCAAAGAAACTCTCCATCTTCCATCATGTTATTCTTTAAGACGTCTTCAGTCATAAAATTTCTCTCCAAAATGTAACTAGTTCAGCTTTTCATACCAAACCTGCACTTCTGTTAAAATATATTTTCTTAGTCACTTTACCTTAAAACTGTTCTCTGAACTACACTGCTTAAACCTACGTAACCTAACCTCTCCACCCAATGTTACTTAGTTAACATAACGTTCCTAAACCTAACCTAACTTTACCTATCCTAACTTA